CGAACCAGTATAAATCCCTGCGTGTTCTACTTCTGTTCATCTTCGGTGAAATCCTTCTAAACTTGCTTCCTTTGCATTATTCAATTGTTTATTTTATAAAGTCAAATTTTTATTTATCACCAAATTCACCCCCTCTTAGGTCAAACTGCCACTAACAGTTACATGTCTCACAGCTCTAACGAATTCCCAACTAAAGAAAAACATGGAAGAAGGGGTTCTGACAAGTGCCATCAACTATGCACCGAGTGATGGCATACTGCGTGATAATTTATATCCATACATATCTCCTTCTATCCTTAGCCAACGATGTATATGTCATATGCAAATAATGTTACATCAGAAATACATCCGCAAGTATATTATTAAAATAAGAGAGCAATAAAATTTCTGTACAATTTAACAACAATGCCTTATAATTCAATAACTATCAATATATTTAAACATCAATCATAATTAATAACAATAAATCTTAACAAAATAAAGTAATAGATTAAAACATTTATTTGAAAACTCATGATATATACATATATTTCAGTATGATATAATAAAAACTAGTAAATTCACAATATAATCATACACAATTCACATGTATATAAAAGAATTTTCAGAGCTACCAACTACTTTTTAGCTTACAAGTAATCAAAATACTCAAAATTCTTAAGAGTCTACAAAATTGCACATAAATATTTATTAATATATAACTCAAAACTATTCTAAAACTACTTTAACATTCTAAGACTACCGTTTAAACCAAAATTATATAAACATATTAACTCTCATAGATTTAACTATTTGTAATAAATACATATTATTTGACAGTAAAAAAATTTTGTATAACAAGATTTAAATTTAATAACTTAAATATATATTTTATTACCTAAAATCAAAATATTTCACATTAACATGCCAATTCATTATAACATCTCAATTTATTATAGTCTTATTTAAATTTTTTCTCAACCAAAACAATTCTTTTGAATTATAAATAAACTTTAATTTTTATAAAATTCATTTACAATTTTTCAAGCCTTCAAAAATTATTTTAACAATATATCTTTAACCTATTCAATATTTGAACCAATGAAAACTCAACAATATATTAAATAACCCAAATAAGTTATTTAACTTAAGTTTAATCGGTAAAAACATTTTATATGTCTTGGATAATAAATTTTTCAACTAAAATCTTAATTTAGAATTCTCAAAACAATCAATAAACAAATATAAATTGATTAAAATTTCTTAATAGTGTGTCTTTAAATTTCTACGGTTATATATTTTCAAAACTCAATACTTACTCCATACTACAAAAATTTTCTCTAAACATTATAATAATACAACTAATATAAAGCTCTAAATATATAGGAGATATTCATAAAAAAAATTGACAAAAAAAGTATTTTGTGTATCTAAATAGTCTTTAAAGCTTGTACTATCCTTTAAACTGCTAGCACTTCTTTGTCTCTCCTTCTTGCTCTCTCTTTCTGCGCGTCGCTCTCTCTTTCTCTTCTCTGCCTATTGCCTCCCCTCCTCCTATTTATCCTTCTAACTTCAACCGTCTCCTCTCCCTTTTTCCCCTCTTCATTTATTAACCTCCAACTTTTCCACTTTCATCTGTTTCTTCCTCCTTTTTCTTTTTTCATTGAATACTTCATCCCTAAATTTCTTTCTTATTAATAAATGTTGAGCTTTTCCACCGAATTCGGTGGAAAAGCTCACTGCTTTTTTTTTACTTAATCTAATAATAAAAAAAATATTATTATTTTTATATATATTTAAATTACAATTTGTTTGGTTTTTTTTTTTAAATAGTATGTTACCAAAAGGATATGGGAATTAGGATAAGAAAGATGTAACAAAACCCCTAAAACCAAAAATAAGGGTTAGGGTTTATGTTAGGTTAAGGCATTGACGTTATTTGAGTTGAGATTCAAAATGCCCTTGTTGTATGATTGAAAGACATTGTTCTAAGGCCAAGACAAGACTTGGATTAAGATAGCATGAACTTACAATTTTCATGTTAACTTGTATTGGTTGTTTGCTATGTGTTTTTATGCCATGATGTGGTTGAGCTAGCTATGTGATGAAATATCTAACTCCTTACATTATATGCCTTGGTTTATGCATGATTGAGTTATTGAATGAAATAATTATGAGGGGTGACATGATAATGGCATGAATGAAAGTTTCTCTTATTTGGTGTCTAGTCTATCTTTTGCTTTATAAGTTGTTTTAGATTCCTCGAGGAGTACTTTCCATTTGGTTTTAACATAAGTGTCATGTCCGAATCCTAGTCATCTCGTAAAAAGGAAAGAAAGAGGAGTCGCCACCAAAATTTTAAAAGGTTAATTTTGGAAACCTAAAAAAATATGGTCTATGAAAATTGGATAGGATTCAGGAGTCGATTATGTGTAGAGAATAAAGATATGGTCTATGAAACCTAAGTTAAGTATTCAAAATTAATATGGCCTTTTTATCATGTTTTAACCACCCTAAAAGAATAAAGATGGAAGCAAAGGAAAGTTTTTAATTACAAAAAGAAAAAATAAATTGTTTAAAAAGGTGGACTTGACTTAGAATCAAAACCTAGGGCACGTACTCTTTAGAGAGATCAAAATCCATATAGTTTAGGGGTAAAAATGCATGTCACTTGGTTGGTATTTTTTAGAAAATATTATTCAACTAAAAAAGGGGTTTTTTGTGGGTTGGTTATTTTTTAATATATGAAAACAAATTTTGTATTTTTATTTGGAAAATATTGTTTGAAAGAAATTTTAGATTACCCTCCTTGCGAAGGTTCCCATAAGCTCATATGGGAGAATAATCGTTCGAGCCTACCGAGGTTCTAAAAACCTCACACGGTTCTGAAAAACATGTAAATATATTTAAAAAGGACTTTTTATTTTATTATTTATTTATAAACATGAGGCCAAAATTATTTTCTCTCATTTTATTTCAAAAATAAAGCTTGCATAACCATATTGGTATTCTTGCAGAAACTCCCATAGTCTCACACGATTTACCAATAAATCTAGATACCTACGAAAGTTCTAAGAACCTCACACTGTACAGGTTTAAAAAAAGAAGCAATTTTGAAAATAAAAAGGAAAAACACCAAAAATTAATTCATCATAAAATTCAAGTTAAACACAATAGATAGGAACGAAAATTCATACTTGATGCTCCACTAAGCAAATGGCTAAGAAAAAAAAGAGAAGACATTACATACTAAGCCAATAATAAAAAACTATATACACATGTTAGCAAAATGGCATAGACAAAAATAAAATAAATAAAATGAAATGAAAATAAAAAAGGAAGAAAGTAAGTATCAAAGTGAGCACATATACGGGATAATAGATAAGGGCATATTTCAAACGAATCAAAGAGAAGGGGAGTAATGAGAATTAACTCAAATCACATTTGATTCAACCCTCTAGCCATCAATATTCAAGCTCATAAATGTGACAATAACTACAAGAGCATAGGCTTTTCTTAGGTAAAAGAAAGAAGAAAATGAACAATGGACTTTCCTCTAGCTAGGCCTCCTCTCTCTTTCCTCAACATAAATCATTGTCATGAAACAAAATAATAGAAAAGATATCTACCTTGCTTCTTTTTTCACCAAAAAATTCTGAGTCTCTTCCTTTAACCCTTACTCTCTTATTTATAGGCTCCATCTAGGGTTTTCTAATTTTTCTTTAATTTTTATTTTTTAATTTCCCTTAATTATGACTTTTAATAAAACTTCCTATTCAAGCACCAAATTATCATCAAATTGTGATTTTTTTTATTTTAATTTTTGTTTCTTAAAATTTTCACAATCATAACTTCAAAAGATATTTCAAAATTGAAGAGTCAATCATTTTAAATGAGGAATTTTGATTTTGATTTTTGAATTTTCTTATTTTCTTTTGTTTTTTTTAAGACTCCATCCATATTTCCTAATTTGGAAGTCAATTGGCTTTTAATTCTTAGTTTTTATTTTATTGCCATTTATTGTAAGAGAGATATTTTAATTTAACTTTTTTTTTAATTTGTCATATGGTGGATTTTTCAAACTTAGCTTTCGAGAAAGAATCAGAAAAGATATTAATCTTTTATTATTCTTTTATTTCTTTTTTATTTGTTTCGTTTACATTTAATATTTCTTGTGGGGCCCAGAAAAAATTTGGTGTTCAAAATAAGATCCTTTTGGATTGATAGTAAAAAAATAACTTTTTTCCAAAATGACTTTTAGTAGCTAAAAGTTATATTAGATAATGTAATTTATATTTGGATTGATTTTTATAAAAATTATTTTGTAAAGTAAAAAAGTTATTTGGATTATTATTGAATAAGTAAGTTTAACTTGTAGAATAACCAAAATAGATATGACGTTTATTAAATAATGAAAAATGATTAAAAATATAAATTTGCAAAATATAATAATTTTTAATTACAATAATAGGAAGAAGTTATATTTAATGAATAAATATATCTAAATTAGAAAGGATAGTAATATAAAATTTTTTTAATCAAATAATATTACATAATTAATTGGATAATATACTTTGCATAATTAACATAAATAAAAAATAAAAAATAATATTAAAAATTAAAAATATTATAAAAATTGTTAAAAATTATTTCGCTTACGAGAATATTAAAAATACATAACTAAAAACTGATTAAGAAACACATAGAATATATAAAAAGATATACAAGAACAACATAAACATAAGGATAAAAATACCATTTAATTTCAAAAACATTTTTGCATTTTAATTGACCAAAAATTATTACAAACAGTTCCCAATCTCATCACACTCATAAGCTTCTTTTTGCAAACTGAATCGCCTTATCAAACAGATACACAATTAGCATAACGTGGAAGGAACTAAAGCCGTCTCTCTTAATCTAAAATTCTCACCACTTCGATTCTTACCTCTGAAACTTCCTAAGTAGATCTCTCATTATTGCAATTGGATATGCATCTGCAGCTGATGCCACCAATATAATTAAAATTCAATTCAAATCCTACTAATATCATTTAAATCCTATTTATCCCATTTAAATCTTTTCTAATTCATAATTATAATTACATAACATGCAAGACCAGGTTCAATAGAAACTCCATAAGGTCACGTCATTTATGCTCTTAATAAAATATGATGTGCAAATCTAAGTTTTACATCATGATCATCTGGCCTTGAACTATGGAAAACCCCCAAGTAGGATGCCAGATTTCACACTAGTGATAGCAAGTCTAAGGCAGCCTAAATTAATATCGACCAACCAAAATAAAGTCGTCGTCATTAAGAACCTCAAGCATTTTATCTCCAATAAAATGCTCTCGGCCAATTTGATTCACCAATCTGACAAATGCTTGCCTTTCCTCCACAGGGAGGGGAACATATGGTAGCCTGAAAACTGGCCTGATAACTCCAAGTTGAGCAAGAGCAGTGTTCAAACCAATGGGATTTGGTTCCTTGAATAGCCAGCGGATCAAAGGCAAGACCTTCGCGGTCAGATTTGGATTCTTGCCACCAAACATGAGTTCATGCATTAAGCCAGGAATTAGGTTGCTTGCAACAGAGATAACTCCAGTAGCCCCAAGGTCCCATCTAGAGTCATGACACTCATCATCATTCCCACTCCACACAACAATATTTTTCCCAGTATAAAGTTTGACCCGGTCGTTTCCTACACACTCCTTGATGCCTGCGAAGTTTGAGCTTTGCATCACCAAGGTTTGAATCACAGGTGGAGGGATATCTTGACCGGTTCGCGAAGGCACATTATATATGATGGTGGGCCCCATGGAAAGCACACTACTGAAGTGAGAAATCATACCAGCAACAGATGTTTTACCATAATAAGGATTTATATGAAGAGCAGCATGCATTCCAACAGCAAAACCTTGCTCAGAGGCATGAATTGCTTCCCTGGTCGAGTTGCTTCCAGTGTTTCCAATAACCTTAATTTTTCCACCAAAACAGTTGACTGTGTGCCCAATAAGCATTATATGTTCATCCCAGCTCATTAATTGACCTTCACCAGTTGTGCCACCAACAATAATACCTTCAACACCATTTTCAATCTGCATATTCACCAAGTCATCATATGCTTCAAGATCAAATCGGCCATCAGGCAGGTAAGGAGTTTTAATGGCAGTTATCAATCTCAGACACTTTATGTCCTCAACTGATGTCCTGTAAATACAGTATCATATAATACGTCATCATCATAAAAAATAAATTTAAAAATGAAAAATCTATATACGCATCATTTCTACAAATACCTATGATGTTCACAAACAGGATATTAATAAATTGGATAGAACAAAATAAGCCATAAATACACATCCAAATTTCTATAAGATCATTCCTTAAAATCTTAATGTGCAAAACCGCACTTGTATTATGAATCAATATAAAGCTGCTTTGCAGATACACAAATTTAACAAGACATGAGTGCTTTTTATTACTCCTTCAGTCATTAATATAAGACCTATTTAACTAATTTGATTAAATTAAGTAAGTTAAGTAAGTTAGTTAGTTATAAGAAATATGACATGTTTTTTTTAAAATATCATAATCATCTTTCTTAATATCCTTCCTCTCTCACATACTTAATTATGATTGAGGGAGTATCCATGTGAGTAATTTAGAAAAATAATTGATAAATATAAGAAACAGGTCTTATATTTAAGACCAAAATTAACTTAACAATTAGGTCCTATATCAAGAACCGAAGGAGTATATCTAAATCAAAACTCAAAGTAAATAATCAAGCAAAGAAAACTCAAATTAATCTCAAATTATATATTAGAGAGAAAATTGTCGATGTATCTAGAAGCATATAACAAATTATATTTAAAAAAAAAATTCATATGACTATTAGAGGAATAGTGATACATGTCAAGTTGTACATTTTAGTTAGGACACATGTTTATTCCATTGCATAACAGAATATTAGTTGCTAAACCGGATCAGAAGTATAACTCTTCCTTAAGATAGAAAGGTTGCAGAATAATATACTTACACATGTTCTCTCTCTCTCTCCCTCTCTCTCTTCCCTGCGTAACAATGGCATCAGAGCCCTCTTTTGGCCACCGCCTCTACAGTCAGTAGTTGGAAAAACGATCTTTACTACCGTCACAAAGTTAGGAGCACTGAAGCATGTCTCCAGCGTCAAGGATTACGCAAATCAATTTCAAGCTCCCTTATCGTTTACGTATCTCCCACAGTCCACTACTGTCAAGCTGTTCATCAATAGACTTAAGCCAGAGATTCAATAGGTGGTCCGATGCTTTGACCCAAGCAACCTCCCTTCTGCCATTTGCCTTGCAGCTATTCATGAAAGATATAAATGGAAGACACGGGACAATACCAAAGATGAGAGAGTTGTCGAAGAATTTGGTGAGAATTCGAAACTCACCTTTCCTATTGACGAAGAGTCCATAGACGAATTCGCAAAAGCAAAAGTGCCTACATGCGTCATCAACAAGAATTTCATTAATGAAACCACGACAAATGAAGAAGAACAACAAGCCATGGTCAAGAGCACGACAATTGTAGACGAGCTTCATAACAAGAACAGAATCGCTGAAAGTAACGGTGTTGCTAAAGATGATGTGAAAGACCCAAGACAGAACGATAAATCCAACACAGAAATAATGGTGCAATTGAAGAGCATCGATAAAGATGAAGAAAAATGTGACAAAATCTTGGATCAAGATAAAAATGAAGAAAAAAGTGAAAGAATCTTGATTCACCAATCTGATGATACGGAACCAGAATCATGCTTGGAATCGATTCAAGCCCTACCCAAGAATGAACATGCTCAAGAACACAAGCCTTCTTTGTCCTTGATATTCATTAGCCATAAGATGAACTTGCAGAACCAAAAGACACCTCCACTAATCTCTATTCAAAAGTATTTATCGATGTATTCACAGTATCTGTTTGCAAGCCTTCCTGATCCTCGAGAACGTAAGTTGCCGTCATTGTTCACTAGTTGCCATGAAGAGTGTAAACTATTTAGGTCATCATCGTTATTTAGTCCAAAACTTGATCTACTTTCACAAACTCCTCCCCTTTCTAAGTAACTCAAGTCACATGCTTAGTCCATGTCACAAGACTCTCTCTCTTTGTTCTCAACAAATGCTTCTCCATCTCCGTTCCCTGCACGCCTAACTAGGTCTTTTTCTCCATCGGAGTTGGAAAGCCACGAAGGCACACAAACATCCTTTCTTCTCTGCAACTCTACCACATTGTTTGTTGCAGGTCACTAGGGTCCTGTCAACTAAGCCATTGGCTGCAAGCTTACTCAACTTGGATTCCTTGATCTCATTCTATGCTTCCCTAGAGAGCTTGATTTCATTAGCCAGTCCAACGTCGCAGTTTCCTTTGCCTCCAACAAACCTCAATTTGTTATGGTTACTATAGTTAAAGCCGATGGCATACATGCGAATAACACTTGCCCTACGGATTTCATGGCCATAAATCTTCAAATCCAGTCAAGTGTGATTGATTATGCTTTCAGCAATGACCTGAAGAAATTGTTATTTTTGGAATCCTCTTGCATTTATCCCACATTGGCACCACAACCGATTCAACAAAATGCTTTGCTTAATGGTCACTTGGAGGCTATGATAAACGGCACTCTTAAGTTTCAGGTCAAATTTTTCCGCCATTGCAATTCTTCCTCAATGGAGACTTCATATGGCATCAATGGAAGTCTCGATTCATTATCATAGTTACATGGAACAACCGGGGCATAGGAGAAGAACCTAGAGTTAGAAACACCACAATGATCGGATTGATTTGTTACTGCCAATGTTTTAAAAGCCGGACCGAACATCAAGCCAGAAATGCTAGCAAGTCATGATTCAAACAGTCAGATCTGTCAGACCGTTCAGTTGGACCGGTAACATAATAATTATATTAAAAATAATATTATATACCTATAATAATATATACACAAAAAATAAAATATCAAATTAGTAAAAAAATTTAAGAAAATTGAATAGTGTAATTATAATACACATTTAACTTTATATTAGTCATTTCATATTCTGACAAACTATCATTTTATATAAAACATATAAACAATTACCGAACGAAAATATATAAACAAATTTTATATGACAATGAAATTAATAATATACAAATAAGAAATGAAAAACGAAAAAAATTTAAGTGTATATATATAAATAATTTTTTGATTTAAAAATATTAAAAGTCGTCTTGTCAACCTTCACATATCAGTAGGTAAAATAAATTTAAAATTTACTTTCTCCTTTCCAAATCAGAAGCTTTGTTGCAGTACTTTTTCCTCTGCAGCTTTGCTTTTTCTCTCATTATCAAAGTGAAAATCGGTGACTTTTTTCTTTTAAATGCCATGAATGAGAGTTGCAGGGACTTGTAATTATGGAGGAAAAAAACTAAAAAAATGAAAGAAAATGTCGCTAGTATGTTTTATTTGGCATTGATCTTTACTTTCGTCCTTCGTTCTCACTGTTATCTCTCTTTCCCCTTCTTTTTTCCATGGTTGTTTCTTCTCTAGGTCTGGATTAGGAGGGAAGTGGAACATTTCAGATCCGTCCAATGCCCTTAAAACCGTTCCGAATTCTGGCTTGACTCCGGCTTCCGGCTTAAACGCTGGTTCAAAGCAGATCAAAATGGTTCAACCCTTCAAATAGTCCAAACCTATAAAACTGGCCAGTGAGGAAGACGGGTGATAGCTGGACCGCTCTGACCTGTCTAGTCCAGTCCAGCTTCCAAAACCTTGGTTACTGCTTCTTTGATTGGGTTTTATACATTGGGTCAAATTTTCTTCCCTACTTTTGAGTGTTAATACCCCGATAATAACAAAATAGCTATTTTCCATTGATAAAGTGGAGTCAAATGGTCAAGTACGCAAGTTAGAGGGGCCTAAGAACATCCGCTTTTCTTTCACTCTAGCATGACACTTGCACATTCCCTTTGTATGAATCGACAACTCTTAGAAATAGTGTTGGTATTGCTGTCCAGATGTTTCCTACTAATAAAGCTGGGCTTGTTTGGAGTATGGAAATGGGCCTCTTCCCTATGAAGGATTAATGATGTGGCATTCTTGGATTTTTGATATTGGATGGTGGATCAAGCATCAAAAGGGCCCACTAGCATCAAGATATCTTAACGACATGTTTTTAGCACCCCTTAACACCCTAAGTTCCAATTATTATTTTACATTCTTGAAACTTTTTTTTTTTTACCCCCTTTACAATTGTACTAATCCTTGTGGACAAGGATGCTCTCTAAGGGGAGGAATATTTAATACATGTCAAGTTGTATATTTTAGTTAGGACACGTGTTAATTCCATTGTATAACAGAATATTAGTTACTAAACGGAATGAGAAGTTTCCCTTAAGATGTATTAGAAAGGTTGTTGAATAATATACTCGCACGTGTTTTCTCTCTTTCTCTCTCTCTCTCTTCCCTATGTAACAAACGGTATACAGAAAAAGAATCTCATCCTCACAATACACACACAATTAGACAGAATATACAAAATATCATGATAGAACTAAAATGGAAGGATCTTAAACAATTTCCTACCTGTTTTTCATCTCAAAGCTTCGCATTGGAAGGTGGACATTGGGCACAACAGCTGCTTGTGGAGGCTTCCAGTTTGAGTTCCTGGTGGAAAGAAATAGTCAACACCATCAGAAAAACATGTAGATACTTTTTTTCTTTTTTAATTACACAAGGTCATGCTAAGGGAACCATACTGCCAATGGATATTTTATTTGGAGCCAAATTCCTACAAAGAAGTAAAAATTCCACCACAAACATAAAAGTTTTCCTCTTTGCTAAAAAACTGGAAGAGACCAAATTTTAACACAATACATGCAAGCAGAATGAAGAATGCACCTTATCTTTTTAACTAAACTTAATCATTTTTCTTCTTTTAAACGGTTCATACTACATGGCAAAAGAAGAAAATTTGATGCAAATCCCAACCTCGAGGGGTCCAAGCTTCTTAACGAAGACTTTAAGTAAAAATTGATTATTAGTACTTGAAAGAATAGCCTTTGCTATAACATTATTGACACAAGTCCAAAATTTAACAATTTTAAAAAAAGAACAATGAAACATCGACCATGAAAATAATCAATTTAGAAATAATTAATCACCACGATTTGATAGAAAACAGAGAAATAGCTTTCACCTCTTGTTGCTATCACTGATATTAGAGCGGCAGACTTGAAAATCGAAACCATTCAAGTAAACATTGTTACAGCTCTTCAACGAGGCCATCACTGAAAGCAAATCCTCAAATGAATTAAACTCAAATAGCACAGCAGAAAACCAGTACACAACAGTACTGCTTCATTTGATGTATATGAGCTACCATAACAAAACTGTGCACAAATTGCAAATATGCTATCGAATTGTTGGATTCAACAATAAATAATAAGTTAAATAAAAACAAATCACATGATTTGATGTTAAAATGCATGATCATGGATATAAATGATGAACAATGAAGTAATGCAGTTAGAGATGGAAATGAGCTAGGTCAAGCCAAGCCTTAGCCTTGTAGACCTAAGCCTACAAGGTAGCCCTCAAGCTTAAGGCTGAGAACGGGCCTATATTAAAGCCCTACTTCTCTAGATAGGCCTTTATAAAGGCTTAAGGGCCTAGGCCTTAAAGGACTTAAAAAGGCTTTAAGCTGATCAAGACCTGCTTAACGCCTAAATATCAATTACTATTATTAACCTTAATTTTTTTAAGCACTAATTATAATTTTATAGTACATGATATATCACACCATATAACAATACAATACAACATAAAGACAAGTCCAAGGGAGAACAATTCAACAAATGAAAATAAACTCAACAATTGAAAATTAAACAAAGAAAAAAAACCAACAACAATCCAAAGGTAGTCTAGAGTAGCACCAATCAAGTCTTCTACCATCTCTACTAGTTTAGATGGCTCCCATACAATGAAAGAATGAATTCAAAATAAACATATGATAAATATATGGAATTAAACAACTTGTCAAGTATCTCTCGAGATATTAGTCGTTCATGAAACATTGTATAATAAATTTTAATTTATCAGAAAGTACACACATAGCAGCAAAAACAGTTAACCTCGAATTAATCAGACAGATCAACCAAGTCCTAATTAAGTAGATTGCAGTGAAGTGATTCCTAAACTCCAAGAAAGAAGTAGAACTATACTTTCTTTTCTTGCCTCAGATTTAAAACAACCTAACTACTTCATATACACCTTATCATAAAGATAGAGGACAAAACCCCATATGAAGACGGCAACATAACAAAACATGCAGGGCAATATCTGGGCCAACAAGAAATTATAGACACAGGTTGCACTCCCAGCATAAGCAACTTTGAGTTTACTTGAGTTAAAAAGACATAAATGGTTACTAGAAATGTCAATCTAACACTGAAAATGTACAAGCTAAAAACTGAATAGCTCAATTTGATAGTATAAAAAAACAAAAACAAAAAAGGCTCAGAACAAGTTCACACTTAACGTTAAAAAAAAAAAAATGACAGCACAACATCTCCACACCAACAGATGAACACAAAGATTAAATAGGTTGAAGGTTAATGATAAACTATTAGGACCAACCGGTTACAACTAAGAAAAAGCATATATCCGATTGCATTTCATAGAATAGAAGCGAGTAGAGATGGAGAGGATATAACATTACCTCAAGACTATGCGGAATGGGGCGACGGCGCCAATAAGGACAGACCTGACAATGAGGATCTAGGTGACGGCGAAGGCGAGCACGGCGGCCGGTGAACGACAGTGAAGAAGACGTAGGAATGGAAGAAGAAGAAAGAACGGGGTTGAGAAATGGAAGACGGGAGAAGAACGAAGATGAGCAAGGCGACGGATGACTGGACGACCACACTCCGAAGCGGAGCCAGCGAGGCCTCGAGAAGCAGTAACGGTGGAAGAGAGCGACGGCTAAGCAGCTAAGAGTTCACTAGTCCTGAAATTTAGGTCGTGAAGTGCCGATGCCGATTCCGACGCCGACGAAAGTTAGAAGAGGCGGCGGGAGACAGCGGGTCTAGAAGAGAGCCAAGGAGCACAAGGGGTTTTAGGGATTTCCAATGCGGAGTGGAGGCGGACTAGCGGCATAACTGAGGGCATGTTTGTTTTAGCGTTTCAACAGAAGGAAAGTAGTTTATTGAATCAAAACGTACGGTTGTAAGTGGAATGAAAATTAGTGTGTTTGTGATGGGGTTGGAACAATTCGGCTTTTGGATGAAAAGCCATCATAAGTCATAAGTAAAATTTGAAGCTTATGACTTTTGAAAAAATGGAAAGAAAAGATTGAAAAAAAAAAAGTTGGAGCCCATACCTTTAAAAGAATTTATCTTAAATCATATTGTACTATATTATATTCAAACTTAGACTTATATTCTTTCGAGCACAAATATAAGAATCAAAATTTTCGTATTAGTATAATATATATACACTAATTATTAATATAAGAGCAAAATAATTAATTTGTGAATATTTAAAAAATTAATTAAATTAAATCATATTGTACTATATTATATTTAAACTTAGACTTATATTCTTTCTAGTACAAATATAATAATCAAAGTTTTCGTATTAGTATATATATATACACTAATTATTAATATAAGAGCTAAATAACTAATTTGTGAATATTTAAAAAAATTAATTAAATTAATTATCACTTCATTATTGTTCATTTTAAATCTTACGAAATAGGCATAGTTACGACTTCCAAACACAAGTGTATATGGTATACATGGTTTGTGCAATAATCGTCATTCATAACCATATAAGGAAACATTCAAGCTCTGACACCTTTTTTTATCATGTTTCACTTTATATTTAAAATATTTTTTATGATTTCTCTAAAATTTTAAAATTTAATTCACTCATTAAAATTGACTTCTTCATAATAAATTATTTTAATTTCATTGTATTATGTGAAATCATTTTTTAATCATATTCCATTATTTATTAAAACTCATACCAATTTTGGTCATTTTACAACAAACTTACTTTTACTTAACTATAATCCAAACAAGCTTTTACCAATCTCACTTTTGCAAACTAGCTTTTCTGAACTCCAATACAAACACAATTCAGCTTATCCAATTTAACTTTTACCAACTTCACTTTTTCATAAGCTACGTTTGCAATAAGCTACTTTTTCAATCGCTGATCCAAACGAACCCTGAATGTATTTTAAGTCAAAATCAATGCAATTCAATGTTTACCACGTGTAATAATCAAAGAAAGGCAATTAAATAATGAAAAAATAGAAAAATTACAATAAGGTCCCATCCAAAAGAATTAAATACAAAAAAAGTCCTTTAAAATCATCAAATTATTCTCAAGTCCCAACGGACCTCATCACAATAAATTTTACATGTTTAATAACCAAATTGCCCTTTTTTTTTTTTTTGCATTGACAACTGAAAAAGCAGTCGTTGACCTCATGATGTGTGATGTATGAGTTGTCGATACCTACCGCGATAGCTGTCAGTCCTTACACTTTAAGTTGTCAATGACTGCTCTTTCAATTATCAATATAAAATTTCCCATTCATGATTATACAACCTATCTTTTCAAATTCTAACAAGTTTTGATATGAGATTGTCAATAGCTATACAAGTGTTGTTAATAGTTATATTGAGGTTGTTAATAGCATCATTGAAGTTATAAAAATGGCCATTTTTGTATTTCCTGGAATTCCTTTGTTAATGGTGATACTGAATTTGTTAACAGAGGTGATGAACTTGTTAACTGCTATACAAGAGTTGTAAAATTCCCCATTCATGATTATGCAATCTATCTCTCCAAGTTGTAACAAGCTCTGAGATGTACCGAAGTTGTTAACAATATCATTAAAGTTGTAACAATGGCCATTTTTGCATTTCCTTAAATTCCTATTGTTAAAGACGATATTGAAGTTGTTAACAAAGATAACAAACTTGTTAACTGTTATATGAGAGCTGTAAAATTTTCCATTCATGATTATACAACCTATCTCTCCAAGTTCTAAGAAGTTTTGAGATGATGTGATTAATGACTATACAAGTGTTGTTAATATTTATACTAAAGTTGTTAATAGCGTCATTGAAGTTGTAAAAATGTCAATCTTTGCATTTTCTCGAATTCCTATTGTTAAAGGCGATACTGAAGTTGTTAACAGAGATAATAAACTTGGTAACCACTATACGAGGGTCATAAATTCCTCATTCATGATTATATAACCTCTCTCTCCAAATTCTAACAAGTTTTAAGATTAGGTGGTTAATGATTATACAAGAGCTGTTAATAGTTATATTAAGTTGTTAACAGCGTTACTGAAATTATAAAAATGGCCATTTTTGCATTTTCTCATATCCCTATTATTAAAGGCGACATCAAAGTTCTTAATAGAGATAATGAACTTGTTAACCGGTAAATGAGAGTTGTTAATAGAGATAATGAACATTAACAAAACTTTTATAGCAAATAAATAGGGCACTTTGCATTGCAACCTCTATAATAATTAACAACACGTTTAAAGCAAATAATAAGTTCAGTAATAGCATTTTCCAAAAATTAGAGCCTCACTGACAAGTTTTCATGCCACAACCATTAACATCAATATCAAATCATTCCAATATCATTAACCTTAAGTCTTTAAGTTCATCCCCTTTTTTATCATTTTCA